AGCAGAAGATGGTCCAAGTGCTTGGGCCCCTGCCACTCCCATGGGAGGCAGGAATGGAGTTCCTGGCTTCCAGCTTTGGCCTGGTCCAGTCCTGGCCATTGCAAGGCATTTCGGAGAACGAAGCAGTGAATGGCAGCTCTGTCTAGCTCTCTCTCTCACTCTCTCTTCCTCTCAATCTCTTGAAAAAAAAAAAGTTGATAAAAAATTCATATTATGGGCCAGCGCCATGGCTCGCTAGGTTAATCCTCCGCCTGTGGCGCCGGCACCCCAGGTTCTAGTCCCGGTTGGGACGCCAGTTCTGGTCCCGGTTGCTCCTCTTCCAGTCCAGCTCTCTGCTGTGGCCCGGGAGTGCAGTGGAGGATGGCCCAAGTGCTTGGGCCCTGCACCCGCATGGGAGACCAGGAGGAAGCACCTGGCTCCTGGCTTCGGATTGGTGCAGCGCGCCTGCCGTAGCGGCCATTTGGGGGGTGAACCAATGGAAGGAAGACCTTTCTCTCTGTCTGTCTCTCACTGTCTAACTCTGCCTGTCAAACAAAATGCATATTATAAAAAAAGCATGCATAGATTTCAACTTGTTTTGCACCAGGTTAAACTTGTCTTCTAATTCCACTTTTCCGTGTGCTTTTTGAAGTCCCTTCCTATATAGGCAGGAAGTTACAGGACCTGGTGGAGAACTAGATGGGTGGGGAACAAAGCTGGAAGGAAGGCTTTTCATGCTTTCATACCTTCGTGCCTTTAGCATTTTTTTTTATTTTATTTTTTATTTTTGACAGGCAGAGTGGACAGTGAGAGAGAGAGACAGAGAGAGAAAGGTCTTCCTTTTGCCGTTGGTTCACCCTCCAATGGCCGCCGCTGCAGCCGGCGCACCGCGCTGATCCGATGGCAGGAGCCAGGATCCAGGTGCTTTTCCTGGTCTCCCATGGGGTGCAGGGCCCAAGCACCTGGGCCATCCTCCACTGCACTCCCTGGCCATAGCAGAGAGCTGGCCTGGAAGAGGGGCAACTGGGACAGAATCCGGCGCCCCGACCGGGACTAGAACCCGGTGTGCGGGCGCCGCAAGGTGGAGGATTAGCCTATTGAGCCGCGGCGCCGGCCCAGCCTTTAGCATTTTTAAGTTACCTGTTCACAAAGTAAACAAAATGAAAGGAGACCTGCTGTGCAGGCTGTGGCTCAGTCACACGCAGAGTTCTTCTGCAGCCACTCAGAACTAGGCTAGTGCTGGAAGCTAGTGCAGAGCACAGTCATTCCGTTAAAAAGTGGTTGAGCACCAGGTGTTACTCTAGGACTAAGGATTTAGGCGGGAGCAAGTCCCTGTCCTCACTATGCTTATATATTCACTATATTCTGTGCATGGACCATTCTAGAAAGCCACACAGGAAACTAGGGCAGGGCATCAGGCCAAGGTCAGGAATGGGAGTAAACTTATTCTTTGCTGTATATATTTTTTAAAAAGATTTATTTATTATTTATTTGAAAGTCAGAGTTACACAGAAGGAAAGAGAGAGAGAGAGAGAAAGAGAGGTCTTCCGTCCACTGGTTCAGTCCCCGATTGGCCGAAATGGCCAGAGCTGTGCCGATCCAAAGCCAGGAGCCAGGAGCTTCTTCTGGATCTCCCATGCAGGTGCAGGGCCCAAGCACATGGGCCATCTTCTACTGCTTTCCTAGGCCATAGCAGTGAGCTGGACTGAAAGAGGAGCAGCCGGGATTTGAACCAGCACCTATATGGGATGTTGGCCCTGCAGTTGGTGGCTTTACCCACTACACCACAGCGCAGGCCTAGCTGTATATATTTCCCTTTGAATTTTAACTTCTATGAATGCATTCACAATTTAAAACAGATACATAGTAAAAAAAAATACTTTATAAAATAAGGGGCCAGCACTACTGTGCAGTGAGTTAAGCTGCAGCCTGTGTTGTCACTGGCATCCCGTATCAGAGGGCCTATTGGAGTCCTGGCTGTTCCACTTCCCATTCAGCTCCTTGCTATTGTGTCTGGGAAGGCAGCAGATGATGACCCAAGGCACCCACGTGGGAGACCACAGTGGAGTTCCTGGCTTCTGATTTCAGCCTGTCCCAGCCCTAGCTGTTGTAGTCATTTGGAGAATGAACCAGCAAATGGCAGATCTCTCTCTCTCTCCCTCTCTCTCTGCTTTTCAAATAAATCTTTTTTAAAAATGACATTAGGTATGATGATGTAGGAAAATCTCCTAATTATTATTTTTCAGAGATGGGTTATGAAGTATTTACACTTGAAATTTCCTGAGTTTGTAATTTATGTTAACATACTCTGGCAAAAAAAATAAGTAGATGAAATAAATATAGCAACATTTAACCACTGTTATATCTAGCTGATGTGTTTTCCAGGCTTGAACATTTTCATGATAGTTTCTTAATTAAAAAGGTTAAAACTGCAAAGAGATTAAAATATTAAAAAAAAAAAAAAAACAACCCAGTGGCATGAGCATGTTGTTCAGATACCTGGAGACAGCACCAGAAGTGAGGAGAGAAATGGTTAAAAAGTAGTTTGCCCCAAGGGACTGGGACTGAGCACAGAAAAGGTGAGTGGGGGGCTGTGCCTTTTCCTCATAGCCTTTTCTTTTCTTTTCTTTTTTAAGATTTGTTTATTTATTTGAAAGTCAGAGAGAAGGAGAGGCAGAGAGAGAGAGGTCTTCCATCTGCTGGTTCACTCCCCAAACGGCTGCAACAGCCAGAGCTGGGCCAATCCAAAGCCAGGAGCCAGGAGCTCCTTCCAGGTCTCCCACGTAGGTGGCAGCAAGGACTTGGGCCATCTTGTTCTGCTTTCCCAGGCCATAGCAGAGCGTTGGATTGAAAGTGGAGCAGCTGGGACTGGAACTGGCACCCATGTGGGATGCCAGCACTGCAGTCGGCAGCTTTACCTGCTACGCCACAGCACCGGCCCCCCTCAAGGTCTTTTCTTTGACTTTAAGTAAGTGGTGCCTCCAGCCAGTGTTCCCTCTGAGCTGTCCAGCCAACCAAACCCCTTCTGCGTGACCCCTTCTTTCTTTTTTTTTTTTTTTTTTTTTTTTTGACAGGCAGAGTGGACAGTGAGAGAGAGAGACAGAGAGAAAGGTCTTCCTTTGCCGTTGGTTCACCCTCCAATGGGCGCGCGGGCCGGCGCGCTGCGGCCGGCGCACGCGCTGATCCGATGGCAGGAGCCAGGAGCCAGGTGCTTTTCCTGGTCTCCCATGGGGTGCAGGGCCCAAGCACTTGGGCCATCCTCCACTGCACTCCCTGGCCACAGCAGAGGGCTGGCCTGGAAGAAGGGCAACCGGGACAGGATCCGGCGCCCCGACCGGGACTAGAACCCGGTGTGCCGGCGCCGCTAGGCGGAGGATTAGCCTAGTGAGCCGCGGCGCCGGCCGACCCCTTCTTTCTTTAGATGTTCATCCTTCCAATAGATTGCCACCAAGGCGCACTGTGAGTGGTCCTGTCATTCAGGGGTGGTATTTTGAATCTTCACTTTGGGACTACATTATTTGGAGTGTTCCTGGGCCCTGGTGGCGCTTGTTCACTTTGCCCTCAGCATTGTGCGGTAGCCCAGGTTTATCCGTTTTGCACAGCAACCCAGATGAGGCTCCGAGAGGTTGAAACTTACTGGGGAAGCCGGCGCCGCGGCTCACTAGGCTAATCCTCCACCTAGCGGTGCCAGCACACCGGGTTCTAGTCCCGGTCGGGGCGCCGGATTCTGTCCCAGTTGCCCCTCTTCCAGGCCAGCTCTCTGCTGTGGCCCGGGAAGGCAGTGGAGGATGGCCCAAGTGCTTGGGTCCTGCACCCCATGGGAGACCAGGAGAAGCACCTGGCTCCTGCCATCAGATCAGCGTGGTGTGCCAGCTGTGGTGGCCATTGGGGGGTGAACCAACGGCAAAGGAAGACCTTTCTCTCTGTCTCTCTCTCTCACTGTCCACTCTGCCTGTCAAAAAATAAAAAATAAAAAAATAAAAAAAAAAGAAAAGAAACTTACTGGGGATCCTTGAGTACAGCAAAGCTATTTCCCCGTGTTAGGGGCAGAGCGGTCTCCACGCATGCAGGCTGCCTCTCCCAGCATGGACAGCAGCGGGGAAGGGAACTAATGCTTAAGGCGCGCACCATGCATAACCCCAGCCCTGTGTTCCCCAGGATGAGAAAGACAGGTCATACCTTTGGTACCCAGACACAAGCACTGTTGGCCAGTCAGGCACGCACAGGGGATCTTGGGAAAGTGTCCTTGACCTCAGGTTTTTAAAATCTTTTACTTAAAAGGCAGAGAGACAGAGACACAGAGATGAGAGGGAAAGAGAGAGCTTCCATCTACTGGTTCACTCCCCGAATGCCTCCAACAGCTGGGGCTGGGCCAGGCTGAAGCCAGGAGCACAGAGCTGTTTGGGTCTCCCACGTGGGCCACCAATTGCTGCCTCCCAAGGTGCGCATTAGCAGGAAGCAGAGCTGGGGCTCAAACCAAAGACCCCCGAGGTGGGATGCAGTGTCCCGGGTGACGCCTCGCCAGTCGTACCCAGCACTGGCCCCGTAGACCTCAGATTCAGGTGACATTTCCAGCCTCAGCCGAGCTCACAGGGCGGCGACGTCCACTCCAGGATGCACGGTCCCTTCCCCGACGGCCATCTCTGCTGTGGCACTTGGACCTTTTTCTTTTCTTTTTTTTTTTTTTTAATATTTATTTATGAGAGAGAGAGAGAGAGAGAGAGAAATCTTCCTTTCACTCCCCAGATGCCCACAATAGCTCCAGGCCAAAGCCAGGAGCCAGGAACCCCATCCAAGTCTCCCACTTGGTGACAGGAACCCGCGTCCTTGGGCTGTTCATCTGCTGCCTCCCAGGAGGGGCATTAGCAGGAAGCTGGGTTGGAAGCGGAGGCAGGACTTGCAGCGCCCCAACAGCTGCTTGGGCCTTTCTCTGGAACGGGCTCCCTCTCTTCCTCTCCCTAACTGCTCCTGGGATCATTCCCAGCTCTCTCGTCCTTTCTCAAGCTTCCCCCCCCCGCCCCCTCAGGTGGGCGTGGCGGTCCTTGCTGAGCTGTCTGCTCCTCTCTTGCGCGCTGCCTTCGGTCTCAGGAGCTCGCGTCCCTCCCCAGCCTTGAGCTTCGTGACCAAGGAGCGCCTGGCAGGGAGGGGAAGAAAACTCATCCCCCTTGTTCGATCTCACTTCCCCTTGACGGCAACCCTAAAGGGTCAGTCTTGTTCTTCCTTCACCCATGGGTCCTCCAGCTACCTGACGGAGTCGTGACCTGAGCCGGAACAAACTGGCCTCGAGTCCTGTGTCTGAGGCCCCGGTCCCTGATCCCACCCAGGTGGCGGAGAAGCTGGAGATGCTGAAGAAGCAGTACGACGAGAAGCTGGCCCAGAAGGAGGAGCTGCGCAAGAAGTCTGAGGAGATGGAGCTGAAGCTGGAGCGAGCCGGCATGCTGGTGTCCGGGCTGGCCGGCGAGAAGGCCCGCTGGGAGGAGACAGTGAAGGTGAGCCCCGTGGAGGCCCCCGGCTCACCTCCCTCTCAGCCCGCCAGCGCCACGAAACCCACCCCCTTCCGAGCGAGGCGCATTCTGGGAGAGTGGGGGACACCCGGGTGCAGCTGGTGGGGGTCTGCTTCAGTGTCCTGGGAGGGAGCAGGCACGGGCCACCTCATCTCGACCCTCAGGGTACTCCTGGCTTCACGAGTCAGGCCTTGTCCCCCAGATGTGAGCACTGCTGCTGGAGGCGGGGACCTCAAAACTCACCAGAGCCAGGTCAGAGTTGAGAGCGATGTCTGAGAGAAGCCTCGCCTGGAAGCATCCCCCAGAATCTCCCATAGGGCTGGGGGCCCAAGAGCTTACACCTCCCTGCCACCCACCAGGGCCTGGAGGAGGACCTGGGCTACCTGGTGGGTGACTGTCTGCTGGCAGCCGCCTTCCTGTCCTACATGGGGCCCTTCCTGACCAACTACCGGGATGAGATCGTCAACCAGATCTGGATCAGGAAGGTGAGCCGTGGCTCAGGCCGGGGCTGGGGGCCGGGCGAGAGGGCGGGAGCTGCTGGACTGGGGGGCCGGGGCTCTTCTCTCCTCAGATCTGGGAGCTTCAGGTTCCTTGCTCGCCTCGCTTTGCCATCGAAAACTTCCTGTCCAACCCTACCAAAGTCCGGGACTGGAACATCCAGGGGTTGCCTTCGGACGCCTTCTCCACTGAGAACGGCATCATCGTCACTCGTGGCAACAGGTGAGGAGGCTGCAGGGGAGGTCCCCAGCCTATTTTTTTTCCCCCAAAGATTTATTTATTTGAAAAGTCTGAGTTACAGAGAAAGAGAATCTTCTATCCGCTGGTTCGGTGGCCAGGGCTGGGCCAGGCTGGAGCCAGGAGCCAGGAGCTTCATCCGGGCTCTCCTACATGGGCGGCTATAGCACAAACACTTGGGCCACCTTCCGCTGCTTTTCCCAGGCCATTAGCAGGGAGCTGGATTGGACATGGAGCAGCCAGGACTCGAACCGGCGCCCATCTGGGAGGCCGGCATCTCAGGCGATGGCTTTCACTGCTGTGCCACAGCACTGGCCCAAGCCTGCCTTTGACTGACTCTTCCTCCTGCAGGTGGGCCCTGATGATTGACCCTCAGGCCCAGGCCTTGAAATGGATCAAGAACATGGAGGGAAACCAGGTGCAGATGGAGAGTGTGGGGCTGGTCTTGTCACCTTGACCCTTCCCGAGCCCCTGCCCGTGGGCTGTTTCCTCCCTGGGGATGCCATCTTCTCCCTGTGCTCCAGGGCCTCAGGATCATTGACCTGCAGATGAGCGACTACCTTCGAGTCCTGGAAAAGGCCATCCAGTTTGGATACCCAGTGCTGCTCCAGAACGTGCAGGAATATCTGGACCCCTCGCTCAACCCAGTGCTCAACAAATCCGTCTCCCGAATTGGTCAGGGCCTGAGCTTATTGTGGGGTTGGGTCGTGGGATGTGAGCTGGAGACCAGCCGGGCAGCCCACCTGGGAGGAAAAGGTGGCTCGCTGGCTGTGTCCTCTGCTTAGCTGTCCCTCCGTTCAGACAGTGCTGGGCTGGGCCCTTTAGGGCAGGGCTAGGCATGGCCCCTGGATGCCTTTGAATGGCTCAGCCCACTCCAGGTCACCTGATGTCTTTGTCCTTGAAGGTGGTCGGCTGCTGATCCGCATTGGAGATAAGGAGGTGGAATACAACCCCAATTTCCGTTTCTACATCACCACCAAGCTCTCCAACCCCCACTACAGCCCAGAGACCTCAGCCAAGACTACCATTGTGAACTTTGCCGTTAAAGAACAGGTGGGTGGGGGCCCGCGCCTGGGCTGAGCTGGAGTGAGGAGCTGCAGAGCTGGGGGAGATGGACACTGGAGGGTCTTGGGTGCGCAGGGGTGGGGAGGGCAGAGGTTACAGGGTAAGCCCCTCACCACAGGGACTGGAGGCCCAGCTGCTAGGCATTGTGGTCCGGAAGGAGCGGCCTGAGCTGGAGGAGCAGAAGGACTCGCTGGTCATCAACATTGCCGCCGGCAAGAGGAAGCTCAAGGAGCTGGAGGACGAGATCCTCCGGTGAGACCTTGACCTTCCCTCCTGCAGGCCCAGGGGCCACTCCCAACCGGCATCCCCAGGGGAGCTGATGGGGGGGTCCCTTCGCTCCGCCCAGAGCCCCCACCCAGCTACTTGGTCCAAGTGCCTGCTGGCTGCCCCCTCCCCCCCACCAGGCTTCTGAACGAGGCCACGGGCTCCCTGCTGGACGACGTGCAGCTGGTGAACACCCTGCGGACCTCCAAGGTGACGGCCGCGGAGGTGACGGAGCAGCTGGAAACCAGCGAGACCACGGAGATCAACATCGACATAGCCCGCGAGGTGAGCGCCCGCGAGGTGAGCGCCCTCCCAGGGGGGAAGCACACCCCCCCGGGGGGAGGCCCTGACCGCCGCCCGCCCGTCCGTCTGTCCGTCCGCAGGCTTACCGTCCGTGTGCCCAGCGGGCGTCCGTGCTGTTCTTTGTGCTCAATGACATGGGCCACATCGACCCCATGTACCAGTTCTCGCTGGACGCCTACATCAGCCTCTTCGTGCTCAGCATAGACAAGAGCCACCGTAGCAACAAACTGGAGGACCGCATAGACTACCTCAACGACTACCACACCTACGCCGTCTACAGGTCTGCAGCCGCCCCTGGAACGCCGGCCTTGGCCGTGAGCTGTCCCCTGTAGCAGTTCTTCTTGGTGTTGGTGGGCACTGGGTGGTTAGGGTGGAGTGGGGATGGGGCCTTGTTCAGGCACTGATTCGGATCCAGGGGGTCCGGGGAGGGGCCCAAGACCTTGCATCTCTAACAAGCCCCCAAGGGCTGCTCCCGGTCTGGGGGTCCCCCCTCGGAGCAGCAAGGTGCTTGCCTTCTCGACTTGGGCAGCCCACAGGCCGCCCCTCGAGTTCCACTCGCTGCAGGCCAAGCTCCTGGTCTTCCCTCCTCCTTCAAGGTGCGTGTCCCTGGATGGCGCCGACGCCCACCCCCCAGTCACCCATGCCAGGTTGTCCCGGAGGGTGGCAGGTTCTGCTCATGAGTCTCTGTAAAGTGCCACGCACGCTCCCCCACCCCCTGCTCTCTGCCCCACCCGAGACGGTAGTGCAGGCCTTCCACCCCCAGCCTCCAACAGGCCCACCGTCCTGCCTCTCCCCTTGCCCCTCTCCATCTGGCCTCCCGCGGCTGCCCGCAAGTCAGACCCTGTCCTCGCCTGCAGGCCTCAAGGCCCCTGGTGCCCCCCGCCCCACCTCAGCCTGCTCTGTGCACCGCCCTCTTCTCACTCTGCTTCTGCTACCGCTGTGAGCCCAACCCGGGGCGCTGTGCTCTCGCCCCTCGGGCGGTTCATCACAGTCTACTAACCGATGCTCTCAGGTCGCTGTGTCACGCTCCAGCACTGCCACCCCCACCCCCTCAAGGTCAGGGACTCCTCTCAGCGTTGTCAGGGCTCAGCTGGGGGCCTGGCAGGGTAGCAGGGGGAGTAATCTGCGGAAAATCCCGGCTTCTCTCCAGCCTCGTCCTGGGCTGTTTCCCCGTGAGGTTTGGATTCCACGCTGTACTAAGCCCTTTTTCTCCGTGAGGCTTGTCACCGAAGGGTCCCCCTCCGTGAGTATGAGTGCCCCGCCCCCCCCCCCCGCCAGGTACACCTGCCGCACCCTTTTCGAGCGCCACAAGCTACTGTTCAGTTTCCACATGTGTGCCAAAATCCTGGAGACTTCGGGCAAGCTCAACATGGACGAGTACAGCTTCTTTCTCCGCGGGGGTGTGGTGAGTGGGGCACAGGGCGCCTCCCAGCCTCGGGGCGGGGGCGGGGTCAGGGCTGTGTGGTGAAGACCCTCAGCCCAGAGGGTCAGGCCTGAGGCTCTGGTGAGTGAGCTGAGAAAAACCACACCGGGAGCAGGTGCCCGCCAAGCTCCCAGGGCCATAGGGGTAACCTGCCACGCATCTCCTTGCGCTTGGCAAAACCAGCGCCCTGGCTGGACCCAGCCCTTCCTTCCCCTGTCCCCCTATGGCCCACGCAGCTGAACGTGGCTGTGGAAAAACACACCCACACTGAACTCACTGTCAATCCACAACCGTGAACCTTAAGTGAGCCCTGAAGGCCGTCAGCCAACACGGGGGCCAGGCCACCCCCACCTCCCGGCGGCAGCTCCCCTCCCTTTGCCACTCCCACTTCACCTCTCGCCTGGACGTTAGCAGCAGCCTCCCAACGCCCCCAGTCCCACCCCAAACTTCACACGGCCACCCTCAGGGAGGTCCTTTTGACATGGACACCGCTTTGGCGGGATGCCCTCAGTGATGTTGTCCCCTACTGCCCAGCCCCCAGGGCCTCTGCATTGGCTGCGCCTTCTGCTAGGAGACGACCCCCCCCCCCCAGCTGTGCACTTGGTCCCTCTCTGGAATTCAAGCCTCACCTGCAGCAGACCCTCATCTTAGCACTTCAGAATACCCCAGCACTCCCAACCCCCCTTACCCTCCAGCTCATCCTGCTTTCCCGTGGCACTGCCATCCCTAGCGTGCCAGACAGTTTGCCTATTTGTTATGTTTTTGGTTCATAATCTGTCCATGGGTCCATAATCCCATGGTGGAAAAACAAGCTTCTCAAGGCAGAGAGATTTGTCCTTTTAGTTCAGTGATGCATCCCAACTGCTTTAAACAAATCACTGGCTGGCAGTAGACATTTGTTCTAAGGAATGAGGATGGATGGGTGGATGGGTGGATGGGTAGAAGGATGAAGAGTTTGTACTTCCCTGAAGGGAGAGGCTACCAATTGAAGTTCTTATGGTTGGAGACGTTATTACACGGCAGCCACCAGAGGGCGCCAGCTTCCTAAAGTTGAACTGTACCATCG